TTTTGAGAAAAAAATACCTAAGAAAGACTTGCAATGGTCACAGCCCTGAGACTGAAAGACTGAGCTTTGCTAGGAACACTGCGGATTGCTCACTAACACATCTGACCACTGCCCCAACAGTGCCCCAGGGCAGTGACGGTGGATTGAATCTGAACTGGCACAGACCCATCAGAGGCAGAGTACTTAAGAAAACAAAGTTAAACACATGGTGGAGTCAAAAACAAGGACACTGGAGGAATGCAAACATACTGGCACCTACAGTTGCAATAAACATCATACACACCCCAACTCCTAACCAGATTATGGGGGGCGTGGTGGTATATGCCTGCAATCCCAGCTACTAAAGAGGCTGAGACACAGGAGGATCTCAAGTTCAAGTCTGGCCCTGGCAATTTAGCCAGACTGTGTTGCCAAATAAACAGGGGTGGGAACATAGCTCATGATAGAATGCTTCCCTAGCTGCAAGATCCTGGGTTCAATCCCCAATATCACAAAAGAGAAAAGGGGAAAAGAAACTTACATTAAAGGTTTATTTACCTCAGTTCCTATTAACGTTTGTATCATGTCTAGTTTCAATAACAAATTCCAAGCCATGCTAAAAGGCATGATAAAATTCTACAGAGATAATCATCAGAGCAAGACTCTAATATGACATGGGGATGTTGCAATCACCAGCCAGAGAATTTTAAATAGCTATGATTATTAATTTAAAACTCATGAAAATGAGACAGTGACAGTAAAATCCTGACTAGTGCCCTAAGGAGGCTACAGCTCTACAGAGGTAGAGATTCCCAGACACAGTGCCGATATAAATGCCACTGGCACAGCGAGCATGGGGTGACCTCTAGACACCTCTGAAGCCACATCCCTACGTGACTGCCCGTCTTTGACTCTACTTTGCCTTCTGTATGAAAGAACTTCCTATGTAGGAAGCACACTGTGGGACCTTTTGCAAATAATCTTGCCAATCAAACATGGCAGCTGTCTCCTGTAAGGTGGCATCCTCTAGTGGGCACCTCCCACTTCACTGGCAGCTCTACTGTGAGGAGACTGTTTGGAAACCTTCCTCCAGCCTCCACAGTGTCTGTGTATGGAACTCTCAGCTTCCAGCGTTTTCTGTTCTGTCACTTGCAGGCGTGGCTGCCATCTTTTTGTGTAAGATTAAAAGTCCTTGCTAGCCACTGCTTGATGTCTGGCTTTTTTGGGGAATTTCCTTTTTTCTTTTTGGGACAGGGTTTCACTATGTAGTTCAGCCTGGCTTTGAACTCGCCATGCTGCTCCTGCCTTAGAGATTACAGGTATACATGACCGTGTCTGCCTTCTCTTTCTTAGACTGAGTAACTCTTTGCTTCATTAATTGACTAGGGAAGTTTACACTGTGGAGCAGGTGATGAGAAGGAGGGGGACCCCCCCCCCCACTAAATTACAACTCAATTTCTCATGGTGTATTTTATTATTTTAACCAGTAAAGCTCTCCTAATAGCCTTGTCCCTAAATCTTAAAATTGTACTCTATAACAATGTTTTCTTGTCCTTATGTGCATAAATGAGCCGTTTCTCTTCAGAACTGGGCAAACATTCCTATAGGTTCTGTATCCACTTCTAACTAGGGAACTGTAACCCCCTCCCACATGCCAGAACACCCAGGTCCTCCTGGCTGCTGGTAGCTTTGGTGTAAGCAAACACACCTTTGCTTAGTTTTTCCTGAGTACCCCTGCACAGCTCTGAGAAGAACTACCTACCTGAGCTTGTGCCCTAAGCACCCTGCTTGTCTCAGCCGAGTTCTGTTCCCAGCCCTGGCACAAGGGACGTTTTATCTCCTGGAGCCTCTGGCCACAAAGGACTGCCATGAGACTGTCTGTCCTCACATTAACTATCTGTCACCAGCCACACGCCTCCACTGCTGTCTGCCCTTTTGTTCATTTGCTCCACACCCCCTCCCATTTTCTTTTTGCAGAATAAGAAACTAAAAACAACAACTGATTTCTCATAAACACTGCTAACTAATCAGCAAGCTGCCGCTCCCTCTCCTCAGGAGGCTCTCCGCAGTCTAAGCAGAGCTCCCTGCTCCTGGATACAGAGAAGCTGTTCCTCCAGCTGCCAGTTCTCTGCAGGAGCCACCACGGTGCCCTCCAGTGTGGCAGGAGGTGGGAGTTCCCAAGTCTGTTGCGCAGCTCGGTCCGGGTGTGGGTGAATAATGACAGCAGCACCCTAGGGCCTCTCCCTCCACTCACTGCAAATATGGCACCAAAAAACATTATTAAGGAAGACACTACTTTATTACCAGGCCGGCTGAACTGCTGTTTTTATGCAATGTTTTAGGTAGAGTTTTTATGGCAATTTCTCCAAAAGGCTGAAGTTTTTAAATTCCAGATAGTTTTGGGGGTTTCTTCCAATTTAAATAATCTGCTTCTAGTCAAAAGGATGCAACAGATAGTAAGACGGCCTGAATGAAGATCACCACGCAGTACCTCTGCTGTCTTTATACTGGAGGGGTCTGAGTCCCCCCAGACCGGAAGCCAACAGCTTGTCGTCTGGAGCTCCGGTGAGCAGTGGCCTTAGGGGCCAGGAGAGCTCAGAGATCGGACTTGATGCTCTCTGAACTACCAGTCGCATAGTCACCCAGTGCTCACCAAGGACCTGCTGGGTGCAGGGCTCTGCTGTGTGTGCAGCAGAGATCTCACACATCCAGCTCGGCCTGCTGATGGTTCTACCTGCCCCTAATTTTAGGTACCTGCCCAGAAGTTCCAGGTAAAGCCGCACTTTTCCCCCACACAACCTTGACAGGGTTGAAAATAGCAGCTTAGGCAGAGTAAGCATCTATAAAGGATTCAGTCGGTGGGCTGGAAGCCAGTCCTTGCCAGGTTATCTACTCTCGGTTTATTAGTTACACATCTTATTTTGAAAAAGTTTACAAAGCATTTAAAATGTTCCAGGCACTGTGGTAAGTATGATATGAATATTAACTCGTTTAATCTTTATTACAAGCCTAAAGGGTAGATATTATCATTTTCCTAATTTTAAGAGGAAGACACTGAGGCTCTGTGAGGTTAGGTGACCTGCCCCAAATCACAGCTAACATGTGGTGGGAGTGAGGGCTGGAGCCTCAGCAGCTGGGCTCTATCGGTATCCTTAACCACCGAGCAAAACGTCTAACAAAGGACACTGAGGCGTTTAAGTACACACTTGCCTTTCCAAGGCACTACTTCAACCAAGACCTCCAGTCCAGAAATTCCAAGAATCATAACGAAAACAAAAGGCAACCAGTGACTGCAGAACCACATCTCTGGTTTCTGGTTACCTGTGTGACCTCCAAACACTTTCTGCAAGGAAACCTGTGCCAGAGAACCCCAGATATCTCTCCCAGGCAGGCAGGTCTATGCTGACCAAACAAGGCCATTAGCACTTATGGTCATTTAAATTTAAATTAATGACAAATAAAATTTAAAATTAATTCCCTCAGTGGCATTAGCCACATAACAAGTGCTCACCAGCCATGTGGGGCCCGCTGCTAGCATACTGCAGAGCACAGAGGTAACATGCTATCAAAATACCAAGTTCTGGTCTGCACCGAGTTTGACTGGAGTGTGATTTCTTTTTGTGATTTAATCTGAATACATCAGTGAGGATAACTTCATCTCCCTCTCATTATTATAAAAACAGAAAATTCAAATTACATTTCATTTAACCACAAAGCAAAAGCTGAATTTCGAGGGGCAGAGTGGACTATTTACTAGCAGGTCAAGTAAATCCCATGCCTGCTGGAACCTAGATCAAGATGTTAGTACGCCTTCTGCAAAACTGAAGGGTAAAGAAGGTTTAAAATGTACAATGGGAAGAAATTGGGAAAGAAATGGGAAGAAATTGTTCAAAAGGATAAAGAAACTAGGATGGGGGAGAGGGGAAAGGCAGGAAGGGAAAAGGGAAAAAAAGGAACTTAAGTTATAACACTAGTGTTTCTTAGCTCATTGAAAAGGTTCATGCTAGTATCAACTGGAAAATTTCCTATGCCTGTATCTTGTACACTAACTGCTTTAATGATGACAATACACAGTGTATTAACTACTGTTATTCTACTATGTTATAAAACTTTTTTTCCCCATAAAATTTTTAAAAGTCCTCCTGCAACAGCAAATGAAAATTTGAAATCGGTGAGGAAAAAGGCACTTGCTAGAAAGGACAGCAGATAGCAAAATCAACGTTGTTTATAGACTAGCTTTGAGTATTGGAAGTTAACCTCTGGGATGTGTTCCCAAGGGGTCACAAGATAGCTAAGCACGTGAGGACAGCTCAGTCCACACTAACTAATCTTTCTATCAGAAAACAACTCAGACACACGTGCTACAATGTAAGGCAGGTCCGGCACTTGCAGTGCTTCAAATAATTACAAAACAAAAACCTACACTCAAAACTGGTTGGGTAAGAAAGGGAGTCATGTGCCCCAGGGACAGGAGAGCCAAATTCCGCACTGACCCACTCATGACAAGTTCTTTCTAGTATCCTGAACGTCTATTATTAGGCTATCTGAACAAATAATATTGCCATTCTATTTCAGTGCCATTCTACTCCATGAAGCAGAAAAGTTATAAACAAAACATAAAAACCTTAGCCAGAAAGCACACACTCTAGAACATTCCCACATTTAAGGAATCTAAAATCTAAAATTCTCTAATGCCTTAACCTGAAGTCTATAGAATCCTAGGACAACTATTTTTTGACCAGTAGGAATTGCCTTTGCTACTATAAATCTTTGTTCACTTTGAAAATTTTCTTCTCTGTCTCCCCCCCATTTTTTCCTCTTACCCTTACTCTCTGTTCTATTGGTTTTAGTAACACAGTTGAATTTACAACCTTTAAACTTTTTTTTTGGTGAATATGCCATTACTTACCAAGTGGGACTTAAAGGAATGATAATGTGCAACCATTTTATGTTCTAAAACACCTTAAGCTCCTCATAAGAAAGAACAGATGCAAAAAAAAAAAAAAAATGGAATTACATACTTGTGACTTCTTGTAAGAAATCCAAACACGGTCGACTACTTCCAGAAATACTTATGGAGACAGCCAGCGGCGTCTGACCTTCATAGTTCCTTGTGTTCGTGTCCGCTCCATAGTTATACAACATCCGTGCGCACAGCACGTCATCTCGAAGGGCAGACAAGTGTAAAGGAGTCTGCCCGTCTTCTAAGCGCCCCAGGTTTGTGTCTGCCCCCCTCTGAAGGAACATCCGACAGTATGAGTGATTGCTTTTGATCACAGCGTAGCGCAACAGGAAACCGTTCTGAATGTCAATGTTGGCGTTGTGGTCCAGGAGGATTTTCACACAGCTTGACCTCTCTCGGATGATGGCGAGCTGAAGTGGCGTTGTACCTTTGTCGCTGAGGGGGTCGACCTCAGCCTTGAACTCTAGGAGGAGCCGGACGAATGAGTCCCTGCCATAGTGCGCGGCCACGTGGAGGGGAGTCCAGCCATCGTTGCTTTTCGCGTTAATAATGTCGCTCCTGTACTCAGATTCTAACATCAGGCGAGCGATCCGGGCCCGGCCATGCATGGCTGCGTAATGAAGAGCAGTGAAGCCTCCGATTAAGTCCTTTACCGTGGGATCAGCTGGAGTTAAAACCAAAACAAAAACATGAGCGGACTCCGAGACAAAACAAGGCACTCTACCAGGTGCAGCCTGCTAATTCTAGCTGATTCTCACACAAAATGGGAAAGGACTGCACTTTAGAAAGAACACCACGTACTTTCTTTCTCCCATTTAAATAAAGTCTTGTTGCAATGAAAAATAAATTTTAGCAGCACAAGCCTGAGTTAATGGAAAAAGACCAACAAAGTGTTTAAAAAGATGTGGAGTTCAGACCACCGCATCCCTTTCTTAGCTCATCTAACCAACTGCCTTTGGCTACTCAACTCTCATCTCTGCATTAATTCATGTTTTTCTTTTTTGAAACTGTTATTTTATTTTCCTCTTGTGCTTCTTGGTCTTAAAGAGAAGCATGGGTAGCAACATCTGCTGCTCTGAATTACACATGTACTGTGGTCTGAAGATCGCTGTCTTAGGATGCATTAGCAAAAAAAAGTTCCCTGTGGTCTGTAAAAATTCCACAGTGTACAAGATATATGTGAAGTGATCCTGATAAATGTTTTCATAAAATAAAACATGACTCTGAGTTCTTCATTTTTATATGGTATTGCAAGTTTACAAGAATTAAGCAACATACTATATGAAAAATTGGGAGGGAACTCAGCACTGCATAAACATTATTCTTTTAAGACAGTTTTCAAAGTATCTGCTAACCCCACCAATTTGGGGAGGAAGGATTTATCTGCTGTGACTCCATATTTTTGTTACTTGCCCGGCTTTGTCGTGAAGCCAAAGGTCAGCTTTCCGTAGCCTGCATCCCACTGGCATCCTGAGCAGTGGGCAGGGCAGCAACAAGAACCTCGGATGCCACCCTGCGCCTACCACTTCCTGGAAGCCAGCGGTTCAGTGGGACGCTGCACCGGTCAGACCTAACTACAGTAAGGAGGATAATGCTTTCTTTTTGTAAAAGGCATCCTTAATTTTTGGCTTGTTTATGAAAGAGAAAAAGATCAGCAGTGTTTCTCACACACAATGCACCTCCCAAGTTACACACTGTTTGGTAAAGTGTTATTTAGTTCTCCAACATACTATAACAGCTGGGTTCTCTTAGAAGACTTTATAAATCAGGAAACTGTATGTTAAAATATAAATAATATTGTGGGGCACGAAAATTTCAGTTAAGGAGTTATTAAGAAAAACTGCAAAGTAACATTTTAAGGAAAACATTATTTGAATTTCTAAAAATATTTAACATTAGTGCAAGTACCCAATTGCAGTATATTTATCTGTTTGGAGAAAGTGAGGGTGTTACTTTTGTGTTGGTCTTAACTAACGAAGTACAGGATACTAACTTACTATGTGACAAAAAAGCAGGCAAGAACATTTGAGCCTAGTATTTTGCTGCCATCTACTGGTACAGTGAGAACATGAACTGGTAATGGCTTCTGACATGAAGGTCAGCTCTCAGACCACTCAAGTCTGTTTCATATACAGTACCTCACTTACTGAAGCTGAGTTAGTGAAGACCGACATGCAATCTAAGTGATATCCTCCTATTCAAATGGAAAACACATCTTACTAAAACGTTGTTTCTAACTGCTACCTGGCCAAGCAACTGTCTCCAGACATTCCCTCTTGATTGGTGAACACAATTTAAGAATGTGTCATCTTTCCTCCCTCCCACCTGTCACGCGCCACAAGAGCCTGCAAAGGTGTCAGCCAACATCTCATACTTGTTCTACAATACAATTAAAATTGTTTTACATCAAATTGCACTTTTATTTTTTATTTTTTGTTTCTACTTCAGGGCTTTTTTTTAGGTCTACTTACATTTTGGGGCTAACTGAGCTAAGGAAAAACACAGATTAACACACACAGCAATGATCAGACTGGGTTTAGTAAAAATCATTCAAATAAAGTAACTGACCCGCACCCTGAGAACAAAGCAAGGATTGAAGAGCTGCAGGGTAACAACACATACATTGTACAGCTACTGGCCTCAATAAAGTAACAAAATGTGAGGTTTTAAGGCAGATGAAGATAGAAACAAAACTTGATTCAGGACTAATATTAGCCAATGCAATAAGATAAGAAAAAGATCACATTTACAATAGCATCAGAAACTATAAAATACCTACACAGAAATACAGTAAGAAATACATAAGGCATATGCAAAGTAAGCTTACTTCCTCTACGTCTGCTGCTCAAATCTTTTACCAAAAAGCCTTCCTTGAACACTGTCTAACACAGCAAACCACCAAGCTTGTTCCTTATTCCCCTCAGTAAACATCTTTCCCTAAGTGAGAACAATTTTAAATAAACTACAGCATAATCTCAATAAACCCATTTCAGCCTACTGAAAAACAGCAGTATACTTATAAGTGAACACAAAGGAACATTTTCTGTGTTGACTATCACTTTTTTTCTACCAATTTTACTGAGTTGAAATAAAATGTACTCATTTTAAGACTACTGATCATTTTTTTTTGTTTTGTTTTGTTTTGTTGTTATTGTTTCTTGGAACTGGGGATCAAACTCACGACCTCACACTTGCCAGACAGGCGCTATGCCACTGAGTTACACCCCTGGTGACATATAGTCAGATAACTGAAACCCACAGTCAAAGTGTAGAACATTCCCATCACCTCAAAAAAGTCCTCTAGGCCTCTTTAAAGTCAATTCCTTGCCCAGATGACGGACCCAGGCAAACCTCTGGTCAACAGAAATAGTTTTGCCTTTTCTGGAATTTCATATGAAAGGAATCATAATTTTTGTCTTTGGCTTATTTCATACACCATATTTTTGAAATTCATCCATGTCATTGTGTGCTTCAACAATTAAATCCTTTGCAATGAATACTATTCTATAATATCTTACCCATTTGTGAGCCTAGGGACATTTGGGTTCTTTCTAATTTGAAGCCAGTTAAATGATGCTACTGTGACTGCTGATGTGTAAATGTGTGTATAGATATGTATTTTCATTTCAATTGAGTAGACACATAGGAGAGAATTTCCGATCATATGTTAAATGTACACTTTATAAAAGTCTGCCATTAGTTTCTAGTGGAAACAGCAGTTACATTTGTTGCAGGGATACATCAAATTTCCAGTTATTCCACACTGTGGCAGCATGAAATCACGGTGTATTGTACTTTTATTATGTAACAGTTTGTGTTTTTCATCATTTTTAAAAATAGCATATTTCAATCATTTCTTTAATAGTTTATTATTGTGTGTGTCCTTTAAAAAAATCTTTGCCTACTATAATGTTACAAAGATGTTCAAGTTTCTTCTGGAAATTTTGCAATTTTAAGCTTAGGTCAGTGATCTACTTAATTTTTGGGTGTGGTGTAAGGCAAGGTCAAGGTTCACTGTTTTCCATATAGTTATCTGTTTGTTACAGAAGGACTTATTAAAAAGACTTTTTCCCCAGAGATTTACCCTGGTCCCTTTGCTGAAAATCAATTTACCACTTCACAGTAGGTCTATTTCTGAACTGTTTCATTAACCTAAAAGCCTCTCCACATACCAATAGTAGACTGTTTTAACATTGTACCCTCATAGTGAATTTTGATGGCAGGTAGTATAATCCTCCAACTTCGGTTAGAATTATTCTGAATAACACATTCTAGAATCAACTTGTCTGCTTCTTCAAATGAGCCTGCTAGAACTTGATTGGAACTCTTCTGCTATGAAAGATGGCAATATCCCACCAAAGGTTCCGAACAATAAGGATTCTTCCAAACAATGCACACGGAGCATTTCTTCATTTATTTAGGTATTCTTTAATCTCCCTCCCAATGTTTCAGAATATAGACCGTGTACGTATCTCATTACATTTTCGAGTATTTTAAATTTTGTTACGAGTTGAAACTTCATTTTCAACGTGTTTATCACTGAAAGAAGTTAAATTAAGTTTTATAACATTGACCTGTAATCTAAATTCAGTTCTTATTTCTAGTAATTTTAGTGGATTTGTTATAAATTTTTATATATAAAATTATATTCTCTTCTATTAAAGACAACTGTACCTCCATCTTTCTGATTTATTTACTGCTTTTCTCTTAGTCTAATGGATAAAACCTACAGTAAAACTTTGAATAAAAATGGTGAAACCAAGTATCTTTCCTTTATTTCTGATTTCAGAGGGAAAGTATTCAGCATTTCACTATTGAATACAAAGTAAGCTGTCACTTTTCATGGATGACCTTCCCTAGGTTTAGAAATTATCTTCAGTATTTATCAGGGATGGGTTGCATAATTTAGTCAGATGCAATTTCTACATTTATTGGAATGTTCATTTGGTATCTTCTATTCTCTTATGATAAATTAGTCACCCTACTGATGTGCACATGTGAAACAAACCCTGAATTCCTGAGAGAAATAATACTTCCCCATAATATAGTATCTTTTTTTATACACTGATAGATTTCATTTTGCTCATATTTTGTGAACAATTTTTGTTTCTGTTGCCATGACAGTCACTGGTCTGTAACTTTGTTTTCTGCCATTGTAATTAAGCAGGCAATTGGAAAGTGGTACCTCCTCTGCTTTCTTAAAGAGTCTGGTAAAGGATTATTATTTGTTCCTTTAATAATTAAAATAGTTCAACAAAATAGCCAGCTGGGCCTAACACTGTGTATGGATAGTTTTTTTTTTATCTTTTTTTCGGTACCAGGGATCGAACTCACGACCGCCTGCTTGCAAGGCAGGCACTTACGTGCTGAGCTAAATCCGCAGCCGTGTATGGATAGTTTTAATTATGAACTGAATTTCTTAAATCACATATGGGTATTACATTATTCTGTTTTACCCTTGGGACAGTTTTGGCAATTTGCACCCTTTAAGGATTCTGTTTCTTTTAAATGGCATAAAGGTGCTCAGTATAGTCCTTATCTTTTTGATATCTACAAGATCTGTAATGATATCTCTTTTCTACCTTGAAATTGGTTATACTTTTTCTCTTGTTTTCCTCATCGGTCTAGCTAATGACTTACTAATTTAATAAATCTAGAACCCGT